GTTGAGTGGCTTGCCAGTTCACCACATGCTGCTATGTTTCATCACATGTCTGCAACTGCACTGGATTCCCGGCAATTTTCTTGGCAGCACCCATAGCATCCAGGCAGTACCCACCCTAATGATTTCACCAAGTTCGAGACACACATGCAATGACACGGATACAACAATAACCTTTTTGTGTGGTGATGTTTCATCTAAATTGTACCGTTTGTCACCCGTCAGTTGCAACGGAGGCTACAACACTGCCAGAAGCAGTATCATCTATGTCTTCAAGACCAGCCAACTCCAGCGGTGCGACCAGTGCCACGGCTTTCGACCCGACGACTACTGGAGGCACGACTACCCCTACATCAGTGGTGACATCCTCGACCACGACGTCATCCAGCTCCCCATCCACCACTGCAACAACCGTCCCGGACACTACTGCACCCTCTATCCCGACAGACAGTTCGCCTAGCACCGAAACCACCACCCAAACCATCCCTTCGACCACAACTCCCACCGACACTCCGATCACCACTCCGACAACCTCTACGGCCACAACCACAACCACTACTCCAACCACCACTCAGACCTCCACTCCGACAACCACCGCTCCGACAACCATCCCAACCACAGCTGAAACCACCACTCCAACCACTTCTCAGACTGCCTCTTCGATAACGACCAATCCGACAACCACCACACCGACAACTACTCAGTCAACTACTCCATCCACAACCCCGACGACTACCCTCACGACCACGCCGACCACAACTCCAACCACTACTTCAACCACCACTCCGACAACCACCGTGACCACTACAACAACAACAGCGACGACGACGACGACGACGACGACGACGACGACCACAACAACAACAACTCAAGCACCCATAGGTAAGCTTAATATTTAATATCACGATAGGACTGGAAAGAAGAGAGAGAGAGAGAGAGAGAGAGAGAGAGAGAGAGAAGAGAGAGAGAGAGAGAGAGAGAGAGAGAGGAGAGGAGAGAGAGAGAGAGAGAGAGAGAGAGAGAGATAAGAGAGGGAGAGAGCGAGTAGATCTTAGATCGAGAGAGATAGATAGCTCTCCTAAGAGTCTGCGCTAGAGAGAAACGATCGATCTCTCTCCTAGCTATCGATCTAGATCCTATCTCTATCGCTCTCTCATCTCTCTCTCTATCGCGATCCTCTCTCGCTCGATCGCGTCTTATCTTACGATCAGTCACATCTCTCTCCTCCTCTCTCTCATCTCTCTGCGCTCTTCTCTCGATAGCTCAGCGCTCGTTCGCAGCTCTCGCTCGCTCTCTCTCTCTCTCTTCTCGCTATCCTCTAGTCTCTCTCGCGCTCTCTCTCTCTCTATGGATCTCTCTCGTAAGAAGAGAGGGAGAGGAGAGAGAGGGTCTCAGTACCCAAAGATGACATGCTCCATTTAAAGATGTTTGCCATCAGGGCTGCAGGCACAAAATGTGTGTTCTTCATTGTGGAGCACTCCACAGCGTTCCATGTTTGTATGGGTTTTTTTAAACTAAGATAGCTGTTTTGAGACTGGATGCCATTGACAGCCAGGCTTTTTAAAGAATTAGTTCCCTTCTGTTTGTGAGCGTGACGTTGCGAGCTTATGCAGACTATTTCAAGGTCACTCAGGCATGCATAACACCATGTAAACGCAACGCGAATATCGCCAGCTTATTTGCTGTTTTCCGCTCATGTTCAAGCAATTATGGTCATCGAATTATTTTTGTTTGGCGTACGTGAGCGCGATTCGTGACATCCATGGATAGTCATTGGCCTTTAGCCAACGGCTGCTACGGCTTCGTTATGGGCTAGTTTCGCACACGAATCACGTTTTGTGCCACATGATGCAAGAACTTGGTCAGTGGTACTAGTTATGACAGAAATAACGTCGGAAATCGAAAACCTTAAGAATGCCGCCGTACCAAGCATTTGAATGCAAGTCCAAGATACAAAATAACGAACGATATACAATACTACCGAGGGAAAGGGCCAAAACGCATGCATATGACGATCTTCGGGCTCCGCAAACACTTAACGCCACCACCTCTCGGTAAGTAGCAACTACTACTACTACTACCACTACTACTACTGGTAATACTACCACTACTACTTCTACTACTACCACTACTTCTAATACGACTACCTTTACTTTTACCACTACTACTGTTACTACTACAAGGTCCTGCGAGAAAGTCAACCCGCCCGATTAAGCAGACATTCTGACACGGCCATTTGGCAGCGACTCTAGCGCCACACAAGCGCTCCATGACTTGATTAAACGGTGAAGCATTGGGGACCCAGTTCACTGAACAGTGCACATGTCTTGTCTAGAGCAGTCTTATGCGATACAACACATGTGAACAAATACAAGTGAGCCTGTTCTTCATACCTGATGTTTGCATCAATGGCTTTGAATATGGAGCATTCCCTTAAAGCGTGACAGCTGCGGTGCGAGGCTGCTCACAGCCAAAGTCATCACAGAATACCTTATCAATATCTCCTCGAAATGCCCGTGCCGTTCGATTTATACGTCATAGCTATAAACTGCACTGAATGATCTTGGAAATGGATATCTCCGTAAAAAGCATACACATATGGAACACCCCTTTTAACGACCCATATGGATGCGCAAGATTCCTTTCGCGTAATCGTTCGTTGCCTGTGGCCATCGCTCAGCTTGCGGTTCGGGTGGTGTATGAATTACTCACCTTCTGGATGATCTTGTGTCAGCAGCGAGTACATTGGGTTATATGTCCTGTTGCACTTGAGCCGTGCCGTTGACATCGGGAAAGGCCAGGACTGGGGCGTGCATTTTGCTTTATTTCCAGCATTGGAAGTTCTTTAATAGCATTCTCCGTTCAATGGAATCCTGTATTCCCTTTCACAACCCCTTGGGAACGTTTGCAATGTCGGTGAACTTTGTCAAGAATTTCGGCATGGTGATATATCCCGGAAATGGAACGATTTTGACGGTCCATTTTAGGGCATTTACACATGGTATGGTTTCTTGCCTCTAAAAATGAGAACATGTCTTCATACCAACAATGTGGCTGCTTACGAATTGTTTCATTCAGAAGGAAAATTATTTCATTCTGCGTGTTAACAAGCTTTGCTTAGCCACATGAACTGCTCAGTCAGAAGCTTCGCGTGCTCGTTAAAAAGGCTATCCTACCAAAATGCTTAAGATTGGGTGCAGTGCCAATGGAACGTGTGGGAAAACAGAAGTATCGAAGAAGTTAACAGAAGGATAAAACAGAAGTGCGCTAGTATGCTCGCTACTGAAGTTTCTACGTGCTGTGCGAGGGTTATTACGGTTTGGGATACGCTGTCCGGCTGCCTGGCTGCCGCCGGTGTGCTGCGTCGCCGGCAGCCACCATACTTCCCTCACGAGAGCGAAATTTATCATGAGGGCCCATAAGTCAGCATATGAGCTTGATAATGCTGAGCGCACGACTCAGCACGCATAGACTCCGGTATACCCGACACCAACACATGTGTGAGCCACAGGGGTAGGATAAAGCGGGTGACCGGCGTATTGGCGGGATGGTTAGTCCAGTTAGGCACCATGAACGGCCGTCTCCCCGTACATGGGTATTAACCCTTAACCACGGCATCTCACCCCCACCACTGATATGGTGATGATAGTCAAGCAGGGCAACAGGGCAACGGAACCAGAACTAGGCAGAGAGGTGGCTGCGTGGATGTTTTCCGCCGGTTATCGGAAGCCACGCTTCTAACAACCTCGACCGTCCCGTCGACGGCAGACGTTTCGTTTCCCGTGGCAGCCCGCTTAAAAAATACATAAAGCCACCGTCATGCCCGATAAAGGAAGGCGGCGTTACAGGTAGTGTTCCACGTTCGAAAATATTGAGGCAAGCGTCAGATAAGATGAAACAAGCTCACTTATGACTGTTGGTATACTTTCAAATGGAGAGGACTGCTTCGAACAACACGATTTCTCTTCATAGTAAAAATGTTCCTAAATACGTCATTGTTTGATTGCGTCATCGTACCTTGCACAACATTAACTGATATCCAATTACCGCCGATTATATCTGAAAATCACGCTCACGAACACCAGGCATGAACGACTCTACAAATACATTTTTTGGCCTTGACGCCATAGGGCCAGTGAAATGGCAGAATTTTGATGACGGCGTCATTGACGCCTGGGTGACCTTGAATAAAGCTGAAGACAAAAAATCTGGACATCTTTGCGGATGTGTGGCTCATTAACTAGAGGGGTTAAGTTCTTCAGGAAGATATGGCTATGATCTGCACTGAATGATCTTCAAGATGACCAGTTCAGTTCAAAGCTCAATATAAATGTGAAACGTACCCCGCGACGTATCGCACCTAAACGGAAATCGCACTCCGCTTCATCCCGCTGATTTGGTCACCAATAGGCGCCCTTCTGCCCGGCCCGGTAGGCTGAAACGTCTGGTGGGTCCGCACTGGCTTCTCGGGCCCCGCTCGGCCTAGTAGCTGTGTTTGGTTCGGGGGTCCTGTCCCAGCTTGTTCGCTTCCATGGCCCGTCGTGGAGTTCCACCGATCCTGGATGGGCAGTGCGAAAAAACGAACGTGGCAAAATGTTTGCCTATAGCTGTCACTGAGTTTCCGTGTCTAAGTTCGCCAACATTTCCATAAAATATTCCAACCCTCTTCCCCCCTTTCGCTGCCAAGTGTTAGTTGGGTTTGAAAAGGACATGAGGATGATTGGCGTATGACTGCGTACGTGTCCCAACCTTTCAAGTGTCTGACAACTTCAAGTTCCAAACTTCAAACCCTCGATCTTGCGGTTGGCATCCGCTTCCACCACCTGACCATGACATGCTCCTCGTTGATCAAGTTGAGACTGAGCTTTTCTTCCCACTCTAGAAACAGCAAAACCTTGGAAACTCATGAGACGAATCCCAGTCCCTTAAAAACCCACTTGGACCCCCACTGAACAGTAACTAGGTGACAATTTCACAGTGAAGCCATCACGAGAGGTGGAGAAGCGTCCGAGCAAGAAGAACAGTGAGAGGGTGACGGCCGGCGACGGGGCAGGGAGCCTGCACACGTGGCGGTGTAACCCCGGTGATGTCGGCAACAACGTCCTCGTTAGCCTCAAGCCTGGTGGTGGAGGAGGAGACGTAAGATTATGCCCCATCGACTGCTGTTGACACTCCCAGTATCTCGATTGCATGAGCCATCTGCGAAGACATTACGCCTATGTTTCAGCATATTCCAGCAATGAGCGCCATCTCGGTCTTGAGTAGTATTAAGCCCCTCAAGTCAGTTTGGTGTCAAAATGGTACCTATCAAAGATGCACAAGCACACAAGAATGCACCTCTAAACGCAGATGCCCCTCCGTTCCTCTCCGTTCATGAATTCGCTTTGTTCCGTTGTCATCCACTTTCCCTCATCCGTTTTTGTGCGGAAACTATGGACATGCCCGTGTTAGGCGCTTTCTTCGTTTAGGGCAGATTCAGCAGCCAGGGAAGAGTCAGCTACGTGATGCTTACAGAAGCATCGGCTACAACTGTTTGTGCATCGTACAGCTGGCCGACCCTAGGTGCGCTAATAAACTATCAGAAAGCGTCCCGCGACACTCCCTTCCAACGAATCTAGGCTGCAAGACACTGCGGTCGAAACTAAGACATTGGGCGATGAGCACTACATATGCGTGTAATTCTACTGATTTTGACCAGTATTCGCCGAACTGTTTGCGTTTGCCGCAATACTTTGATTACAAGGGCCTGATTTGGAAAGTTCTGGAAGCTATTTGATTTCACTGTTTCAAATTGCCGAGCCTAACCAGGCCTAGAACGTGCTAATTTTACACAATATTTAGATCTTTAGATCGTGAGCTGTCCTGCGAATGCTACTGTATGGTAAATTCTCGAGAAATTCAGACCCCCAGCCCATCGATCGAACCATGTGACATCTGATGACAAAGGCGTTTAGTCATAAACCCAACATTTAGTGTCATCTGCGTGATGACAACGGACAACTCTCACTCGTGCTATCGCTCGCTCTCCATGTCGCATCTTGTTGCACATGGCGTCTCACCAGCTAAACAGCGTGCTTTTATCTCGACTCCACTCTTTCCGTGGCGATTTTAACCTGTGTGCTGCTTTCAGCATCTGCATGGATGGCAATGCGCCGACTTCTCCTCTATGTCGGGCTTCGAACTGGATCACACACAGACGTCTCACATCAGGGTGCAATCTTCGTCGGTAAGTCATTCTCAGCCAAACACTTGATTGGCACACCCAAATTCCATATATGCCATCGCACATAATTACATGCTCATCACAACGTCATGCTTATGTTGAACACACCTTGCAATCCCTGCATTAGCAGTGAACCGCTTCAACACGGCTGCAGAAATCCAAATGGGCCTAAGTTAGGTAGGGCTGAAGGTACTGCGCAGGTCATGTGGGACTGCCCATTTGTCTGTGATGCTCACGTGTGAAACTAATGTGCCCATTTCTCACGATTTGAGAACCAAACGCGATCTGCGCGCTTACTTCTGCGCTGGCTGAATTCGCGCCTTCGGATAGCTCCGGCCCCTTTACATCATTGGGTAACGCATCTCGTTTTGCTTGCACTTTTGCGACTTTCCTCACTCATTCGCGCTTTCTCTTTGATATTACTATCGTGTGGCAGGTAACCTGCAACTGCCTGTAAAGTAAAATGCATGATCTGTGCGTCGAGAAAGCTTTCGGACCATGACAGGCTAATTCGCCGATCGTCTTTAATGAAGTATTTTGGATAGATACTGCACCAACCAAGAATCGTTTAATTAAACGCACGACATTCGCCACCATCACTTTAAAGAACCCTTAGGTCATCTGTAATCCTTGGGCTGACTGTTATTGTCTTTTTGTTGGTTGAGCCTTACAATTTGGGGTGGGTAGAACTGCAGGGGGATTCACACTTGTACATGCAAAAATGGCAATTTATTATACACTGTCGGAACAGACTCGCGCTACTTGCTGATGAACGAAACTCTTTGAATGGATGAGGGTGGCTAGGGGAGGGAGGACTCACGTAGTGTTCTATTGTGTCATTACTTTTTATCGAACAGTTCCCTGGCCCTATACTTCAAAGTCAGTGAGAAACACTGGTTCCCCATACCCATGAAGAAGAGGTGAACATGCTATGGGCTGGCTCTGCGCCACGCTGGTAGTATTCCAAAATGGACGTATTTTTTGTTGGTGGGGCTCAAGTTTCGCAATATTGGATAATTAAACGCGGGGGATTCAAGGTTTTTTAAAAACAATCTTTTGATTCCAATATGCCGCCGGAGATAGCATCTAGAGGAGTAGCACGCTACTATGCACCTGGGAGCATCACTGCAGTAGGGGGGGGGGGGGGGGGGTCAGGGGCCAGATCCACTTCTCCAGTGGTGCATTGTGTGGAACCGCCATGACCGTCATACGCTTCATGTTGCTCAGATTCATTCAATTACCTTCCAATTGAGCAAATGTGTGTGATTGACTCCACTTGTCATTGGGTATTCCCTCCAGGCCCTCAAGCTCGTCACGCCCTGGTACGCCAGGAGGTAACGCGTCACGTCCTGGTATCGGGGGCCCGGTCCCAGTCCGTCAGCCCGGACCGTGTACGACAGCCCGAGCCCGTTCCAGGCCGTGATGCTTTGGCTCGCAGCCCGAGGTTACCATATACGCAGCTCATGAGTTCGAGTACGATACCTATTATCACATTCAGTCCCTGTTCAAGCACGAGTTCATGAACTCCGTGGGTAATCTTACGGGATATCAATCACAGTACGCAATAGTACGCAATAGTACGCACAGTACGCAGACAGATAGCAATCAAGTATACAAATTATGAAGGGCAAGGTTGGTCATGGATGCATCACGTCACCTCAACCAAGCATCACCTCGACCAGCCTGTGGACCAGGGGTAAAAAACATCTCGTCTGCCACCAACGAAGTTTGGAACCGTCTCAACCTTCACCAAACCAGCGGCCAAGTCCTTCAGAAACCGTTGCAATATAACTCTACACTCGATAGACCACAACAAACAAAATACAAATTGCATGTAATGCGGCATAACCAAAACATCTTCGTTTCGCGAGTTCATTTGCGCTCAAGTATCATCTGATGGTCATAATACAATGAATGACGGTTGATACTAAACTAATAAGATTACGGAATAAGGACATGCTTAACATAGCTGACATAGAGGCGAATAGTTTTCTTTTCAGTTGGAGGGGAGAGTGGGATTATGCTTCCTAGCCAGGAATGCAGCTTCCTATTTTTAGTTACCTTTTCATCCATGATTTTTCATTCATGTAGTTTCTCAGAATTAATTTTGGGGTTCAGCCCCCAAAACTAATTTCGAGAAACTACACCCCTGCTCCAAAGTCTGAAAAGAAAGTGCGTCAAATGTGGGGAGAAAACTATTTTAAGTACATTTCGGGGGCAGGCTCAGCCATCCCCCTCCCGCACCCTCCCCCCCCCCCCCCATTCCTTTTCTTCCTCACCACTAAGTATTTTGCAAAACCGCATTCCTGTATCCATATATTAACCAACAACGTGGTTCTACAAGTGCCTGAAACAATACCATTTTTGGTTTTGTGACGTCACTGTACAATCATCTGGAGGCGTTGATCATCTTCACTGTCTTGGCACAATAATTGCTTGTGCAGAACTCGCACCTTCTAAGATCATCCCAATTGTTTAGAGCAAAAGCCATGCTGTATTGGTATCAGCAGATACCAACGAAATGTTCGAACACTTGTGGCACATTCATTTAGCTTTATATGCAATATGACGACAATTAAAGGTACTTTATCCACGTTTGTCCGCTGATCTCTCTCCCTCTCTCTCCCCCTCTCTCTCTCTCCCTCTCTCTTTCCCCCCCCCCCCCTCTCTCTCTCTCCCCCCCTCTCTCTCTCTCCCTCTCTCTCTCTCTCCCTCCCTCTCTCTTTCTCTCTCACCGCTAAGTCTGAGGTGCATCGGCCAATATGAAAGGCCTGCACCAGTGATGCTTGGCTTTTTGCCTCAAAGCCGCTGTTCCTCTCAGTAGCAGGAATCCTGGGATGAATCCTTGACCCGTGTCGCTCCAACCCCCTCCGTTTACCTCTGGACCTACAGTTCAGGTATCCACAAACACCACTCTCCCTAGATCGGCAGGGCTTTTGAACGCAATTACCTTAAACAAAACTCACGATTAGCCATGTTCTTCTAGTCAGTCAGCTTCCCATGACTTGAACACAACCAACAGCAACATACAGCCTGCACTGAACCCAGCGCATTACCGCGTGGCGAACACTCGAGCCCATCTGTCTCAAATGATATCTTTGATGGATTCAATGCAAGGTCTATTTTTCCTCAACGGACCCAAAGTCACTTCCGAGGGGGACACTTACTTCCAGCTTAAGGCCAGGCGAGGATTAAGTTAAACCAGATTATGCTGTCCGGTGCAAAGCAAGGGTTTTTTTGAAATTACGTTACGTTAATCTGGCTCATTTTGCCCAGCAAGATCACAGGACTGTGGGCAAACCGCAGCAACGGATATACTTGTTTCACTACGACTCTATACGCATTTAGTACGTTTGAACGACATGTGAGTCTCCTCTGCAGCCCTTGCGCCAGATTCTCGGGTGCAGCCAGTCCTGTGTGTGGTGTCCGTGGCTGCGGTGACTTGCCTCCGCTGACCTACCGGTGGTCTGCGCGAAGGATGGATACCGGGCCGCTTCATCGCAGCAACAGGAGAGCAGTCCCGGGCTCCGCTGCCCGGCACGACCTTATGGTGCTGTGTGATGTAAATCAGTCTTGAAATTCCTACCTAAAAAAGACCAGAGCTCATAAACAATGGGGAAGAACTTGTAAGCTTTGCCAGATTATGCAGAAAAACCCTCCTTTTAAATAAATTTGTTCATTTGGTGCTGTGTAAAAATTAGAAGAGGAGAACGGACAAGTCAGGACAAGTCACTGAGGCGGGAATGGACGCTGAGTGAGAGCCGATTAGCGTTGGCGTAATTGAGGAGCGGTTGTCTTGATCGTCGACATACCGGGCACGCGGGGGGGGGGGGAGAGATTTAGTGTGAGTAGGATGTAACAACGATGACAGTGGAGGAGTGCGTCCGAAAGCGTAGTAGTGGGCGATTTGGGAGTGACCGACACAAGTATGGCAAGCAGCACTTCCTTGAGGCGATTATATTGATTAATTGTTGGCCATTGTTGAAGTATGGGTTTCATTGGGTAAAGGTGGGAATGAGCACGTTGATCTCATTCGAATTGGCGAAAAAAACGAAACACGTAGATTGATGACTACAGGAATATGAGAAACGGGACAGGAAAGATGACTACGCTCCGGTAACATAAGGTTTTGGTTTGGTTCCTCGTCAGCGGTGTTGCTTCCATGAACATTTGAGCGTCCAGGTATCCAGATAAATATTGCGGGAGTTTGTTGAGAAAGGGAGCGGAACGTTCGACGCATACCGTTTAGAACGGGATGGGATGAATTATGGAGAGTGATGACAGCTTTTAGCGACGGATGAGAGTTGGTGCATATGACTGCCCTTCGTATGCTACCTTGCTTGATGTGCAGCTGGACTGCCAGGATTGCCCATAAGTTGAGCCGTATACACAGAGCCTTAATTTGAAAGGCGATTTGCTTTATGGTAATTATTATGGGTGACGGCGTCGCGACGGGAGACATCAATATGTATATATATATATATATATATATATATATATATATATATATATATATAAATGTGCGAGTCATGTTCTTCCTTGAACTCTGCGGAGAGTGCATGCTCATTGGTTTCTAATAGTTCTATTTCTTGCGTTGAAACAGAAGGATTATATTAGGTATAGGATCGCCCCAAAAGGGTCAATACGCCGAACATTCCCTGCAGCTCAACCCCAACCCACAAAAGGGAGCTGTGAGCTGAACTGCAGGGAATGTTTGTGGGATTAAGCGCTCGCTACTCGAATAACACGGGTGCTGATGGCTGGGTATTGAAGTTCTACGTTAGTAAGCGTACGGTTGGGGCGGAGGTGTGCGAGGGTGTTGTATTTGGGGTTACTAACATGCGCCGTAGAGCGTGCGTGAAATCAAAGTTCCCATTTTTCCGGTGTGATAGGCAGGGGAGATCCGTGTCCACGAGCAAATTTAGCACCGGGGAGGAGCGAGGCGCACCACTCACTATGTGGAGGGCAGCATTCTGGCTGGTCTCCGGGCTTTCGTTTTTTAAGAACTATCATCCAAAGGAAACCCATTGTAGTCCAAGATCGGGCGTATCAGAGAGGTATAGAGGCGGAGGAAAGTGCGCCTGTCGGCTCCCGCTCCCGCTCTGCTATGCTTTAATTTGTCCATTTATCTGGCGCGGCGTTGCTTAAAGTCAGGAAGATGAGCATTGAAAGTAAGACGACCATCTGATGTCGGTATGTAAACTGTGGACTCAAGGGATTATTCCACCATTCGGGTTTGGGGGGCTGGCGGGTTGAACACAATTTCGCCTAGAAAGGATAACTACAGCTGACTTCGCTGGGTGAATCTGCCGTTTCCGCGGTGTACACTGCGCATGAATATCATTTACAGCTAATCAGATATAGTGTAGTGCATGAATGACATTAGCATGCGTATACCACACAGCCAGGTCGTCATCATGTATAGAGAATATTGAAAACGCAAAGAAATTGTAATATTAATGTCACTGAAGACGTCATTTATCATTACGAGAAAGAGAGTTGGAGATAAGACACTACACTGAGGAAGATCGGGATCCTGCGCCGTCGGAACAAAATAACTATTTCGCAACGCATAGAAAATGTCCTATCAGTTAGAACGTTTTCAATAAAATCGGCGAGTGGGCCGCGAACTCCGATCTCATGCAGCTTAATGAGGAGGGGACCTTTACTAGCTCCGCCGAAAGCGGTCTTTAAATCCACGAAGAGTGCTACCGTTCTTGCTTTATTGTGAAATCCGATTTGAATTGGATTTTTTATGTAAATCGGGCTGTCCGCCTTGAAACGACCGGGACGGAACCATTCTGAAACGATGAAAGGTGATTTGACTCTGGGAACACCCTGATACGTCTGTTGACCATCCGTTCAAATATTTCAGAAGCACAGCTAGTGAGATGAGGAGATAGCTCGAAGCGTCTGAGGGAGGGCTAGAAGCTCAAGTATAAGGATAAGTGTACTGGTCGTGTGGTCGTCCATATTCGTGCTAGTCTAGTCGTTAAAAAAGGTTTCTTGAACGGCGACTATCAATGCTTGTTTTTGGTTGCATGTTCATTGAATTCTACCCAATGGAATACCAGGGAACTTGCATTCCATTGGAACAAGAATTCCCCGAACTGGGGATTAATTTATGGAGGGGAGGGAGACCATCCAGCAGAGCGGTGGTGAGAGAGGGATCGAAGTGAGCGACGGCAGGAGCGCGTAACGCGTCGGGCTCAACGATCAAGCGAGGGACTGACCCGGAGGCTGGTGGCGGGAGACCGGCAGAAAAGGCATCAGACAGGGCTTCCTTGCACGCCGGTACGGGTGGGGTGACCAACACCGACGCGCTGCGGTGAAAGAGATGCTCTCTCAGTCTGGTGGGGCGGGTCCCCCCTCAGCGAGGCTCGCAGCCGCCGGGTTCGCTTCAACGGGGTCGGTCAGAGCGGGTTCGATCGGACGCCGCACCAGGCGCGGCTGACCTGCTGGGGGGAGCGGCGTGCTGAGGGGGAGCGCCGCGCTGTGGCACGGCGCTGGATCGGCATCTCGGGCTCCTCAAGAAGACGCGGAGGAGGGAGGGGGCACCGCCGCGGAGCTGGTGACAAGGGGGGGGGGGGGGGCGAGGGTACGCCTCCTGCAGCGTGGGTCACTACTGAAAGTGGAGGCCTCGTTGGACGGGTGCAAAGCCCCTGCCGCTGCCTGCTGCTGGCGCTCCTGCGGCACATCGCGCTGCATATGCCAAGCGGGACAGGCGCGGCGGTCGCAAGCTGCACGCAGGCCTTTGCACGTGGCGCAGCGGGTTTTTTCCACGTCACACTCCCGCGTGAGGTGGAGATTGCCGCAGCGACCGCAAGCGGTGCGTCAATCCCCAGCAAAGCTCCCCAGGACCTTACCGGGACGATCAGGTATCCGCAGTAGGTGGCCGCGGAAGTTTCAACCCTCTGAATCGCAGGCGCAACGTGGAGGATGGGAACGGCAGAAGGGCAGGGGCATGACTTCGCAGACCCCGTGCTTGGTCGGCCCCTCCAACAGCTCTTCTTCCGACAGTTCGGTCCGCTCCGGGCTGCACACGACCGCCTGGATGGTGTCCAGGCGGTCTGCGATGGCGATTGTGACTGCCCGCTCCAGAAAGCTGCTCAATTTTAACAGCACCTCGGCCTGATGCTCGCTAAAACCCTCACTAGGTGGAATCCTAGGCGGAGCGGCTTAGCGGCCTCCACCTTGCCGGCGTGGAGATCAAGATGGCAAATGACAACGGATGCCGACGGATGGCAAATGGTTTGATGGTGCGGAAACTTTTCCCTCGGACGTTTTTACTCAGCACGAAGCTCGGTCCCGCCGAAAGGGAGGTGGAGGGGGGGGGGGGGGAAGAAGCTCATCGCCAGTGGGTGGGGAGGAGCGTGTTGATGGCTTTCCTAACCTTTGTAACCTTAACTTACCCCTAACTTAGCCTTAACTTAACCCTACAAACTAGTTAGTACTACGACTTAAAACCAAACAGCACAACATGGCACACTTAAGGCTTTCGCGAGGACAAATCCCGAGCAGTTACCCGCTCTGCTTACACTAATCGCTCTTTTAGAGTTAATATAAGGAAGGAAAAATCCAATAAGGCCATCAGGGCAATGTGTGTTGAAATTCTAAAAGGAACAACACCACCACACTGCTCCGCGACAAAAACTAACGCAGAACCGGAGCAAAGCTGCGACACGATTTCCACGAATCATGCCACAAACCGGAAGCGATTCAAATTGCATGATTTTTCAAACGCTGCGTAGCAAAGTGATCACGCTTGTGGCGAGATGCTGTGGCTAGCCACGATTCTTACAACTGCTAATGAACCTCGTTATTTGGCATTTTCTGCTGTTGAATATGTGAGGCGAATCTTGGTCGAAACATCTGTGAAAAACACTGATCTGGGTGGCCTTGGAAAAGCGCGTGTCACCACTGACCGGAAACATCAGCGTCGATATAGCACAGTTTGTAGTATATTTCTGTCACCTGCTCAAAACTATTCTGATTAAAGCTACTATATTTGGCCACATCTTATAGTTTGATCTGCCGATACAGCGAAGCATGAACGTTTCGACATATGCTCTAACCATGCTCACGCTGCAAGCATTGACGAGTACAGACCAACACTAAGCTCTGCGTTTCACCTAGCTGGGATGGTCTGTTGTCATATGGTCCGGTCTGCTAAAACGTGTTCTCATATTCGTAATTTTGTCACCAATTGGCTCGCAAAAATGCCAGTTTTTGTCACCGATCATATTTGGTAACTCAGAAGCTTTTGCACGACTGTTATGGACCAACAAAACACAGCGTTTATCTTTACTTTTTGCTCATCCCACCTTGTTTCTACCGTTTGGTGTAGACAGGGATTTCATAATTGCCTGTAGTGGTGTTCAGACCCCGAGTTCAAATGTACATGCTGTTTTGTTTTGTTTTTGTTTTTTGTAAGCCGGTGAACCCGGGTATGACTCTGATGCGTCTGCAAATAAATCGAATCACTTAATCAAGGTCATAAAGTTTCTTGATTAGGAAATGATTCTGCATCGAGCGGAAACCCAACCTGTGGGTGGTGTCATGGTCCGAAACTGTGGTTCACTTGCGTGCCATCTTGCTGAGGACACTTCTGACATTGCTTGCTCCAGCCAGTGGTTAAATGTTCTATATATAAGGTACGTCTGCATCAATACCGGCTAAAAATGATCTCATGGTCGCGGTCATCCTCGTACTACCAGTTTGGCGAAATCAGCTGGTCCTGTCTGACTCCGTCCCAGACGACTGTGTGGGTGGCACCGCCGGGCAGGGAGCATTGCTCAGCGGAGCGACAAGTCGACGTCCGCTGGTGACCTGTGTGGCACCGCCGGGCAGGGAGCACCGCTCAGCGGAGTGACAAGTCGGCGTCCGCTGGTGACCTGTGTGGCACCGCCGGGCAGGGAGCACTGCTCAGCGGAATGACAAGTCGGCGTCCGCCGGTGACCTGTGTGGCCGCCACCGCCGGGCAGGGAGCACCGCTCAGCGGAGTGACAAGTCGGCGTCCGCCGGTGACCTGTGTGGCACCGCCAGGCAGGGAGCGCTGCTCAGCGGAATGACAGACCGGCGTCCGCTGGTGACCTGTGTGGCACCGCCGGGCAGGGGGCACTGCTCAGCGGAGTGACAAGTCGACGTCCGCTGGTGACCTGTGTGGCACCGCCAGGCAGGGAGCGCTGCTCAGCGGAATGACAGACCGGCGTCCGCTGGTGACCTGTGCGGCACCGCCGGGCAGGGAGCACCGCTCAGCGGAGTGACAGGTCGACGTCCGCTGGCGACCTGAGCAGCTCAGCAGTCGATCTATCGATCCGCGTCTCGCTGCTGGCGAAGTCAGACAAGAAACAGACCCACCTGCCGTGCCGCTGACCGCGGTAGTCCGCACTTAGAGGGACGCACGCGCGCCCTGTGTGGATCGTGATCTGGAGGCTTTTTGTGACGTCACAAATATTTTGGCGACGGGTCTTTAAATTAAGAGTAAGCTTGTTAAAGGTAGCGAATTTTGTGACCTGTATTACTAGCTGCAACTGCCCGTCTCCACGCCCCCGCCAGGCCAACGCCCGTCCTTAACTCCCCGGCGCGCGGGGGCCCGGGTCGCAGGTCATGTGCCAAGCGGTCGACACGCCGCAAGCCAATGACAGTCCGGGTCACAGCGACCCGGACACCGCGACCTCCCACTGCCGAGCGGACCGGAAGCGCCGCGCGGTCGGGGATGGCCATCACCTGTAACAGCGTTACACATGCATGCTAATAACCGTAATGAGTTGGAACTGCTGGCGCCCACGATGCCGCTTCTTGAGCATCGCTCCACTGGCGATCGCGGTAACACTCGGTGTCTTCCGTTTGCTCGCAGGGTAGCAGATGTCCGACGAACTACGTGGTTACGGACGTGCAGGACGATCGAGACAACGCACATAGCGTCGACCAAGCCATCTGCGTCCTCGTGGCGGGTGGCTACGAAGTCGACTGCAGCCAGGCCGTCACGATCGCCATGCAAAAGAACAACGTAGCCACATGCCCAGACTTCCACGCCGTCGTCAGCGCGGCCCGCCCGCGCTCGTGGGAAACCATGCACTGCTGTGAAGTGAAGCGACCATAATGACCCTTTTTCGCCACGCATTGATGACTTGTGTTTTGATGCCTTCCGTGGTAGGTCTGACTTCGGGTACGTCGATGGCCTTTTGGGCTTTCTCTACGAAAAGATGATATCATACTAGCGATTAAACGTCTTTCGACGACTTTTCTTTGCATTTCAAATGAACAGAGTCGTCCGCATACTCTTGTAAGGTAAGATTACCTCACAAGAATATGTGCGACAACCTCACTTTAGCTCTTACGTTAAACCCGTTCAAACGAAAGGTCCTGATCGTAGCGGCAGGTCACGTCCCAACAGCGGGTGGACATCTGACATACGCGCGGCGACGGAAAGAGACGTGCTCACGATGGTAAGAGTCGCGCTCACCCCCGCTCTCAGTGCTCCATTGTACGACATGATCGTTTTTGGAGATAGTGTAGATCTCAGTGCAACGAAAACGAAGGGCACAATACGACTGCTGGTTAATTTTCTTCAGATTGGAAAGAAGTAGTGTGCTCCTTTAAGAGTGCAAAAGTAAGGCTAGATATATGATAACTTGGTCTGCAGATTTAGGTTATTGTGGGCACATTGCGGACTCATGCGAGGAGGGGCAGCAAATTGTCATGGTATAATTCCAACATTTTTATGAGCCAATTCTAAATAAGTGAATAAGGTGTGTGCGGAGGCAGTCGGGTGTTAGGCATCTCACACGTAAATGATCTGCTGATTTTGCGTTCTGAAAACGTGAACTCTGGAGGCCCGGCGTGTGGACCATGATGTCATGATCATCAAAAATACTTGCAATCAGTCAATCAGCACTTTATTCTTCTGAAATGTATCCTATTTCTCTGCCGCTGCCCGCATGTCACGTGTTCAGTAGTTATTGAATATTCCATACGGTCGAGTGAATACCCACGAACTGTCACCGCTTCTGAGGTAATTCTTCAATGATTAAGTTTTTTAGGTTTTACCATGACTATTTTGTGTTTTTAACGCGTTAGTTTTGAGAAGTTGACAATATATAGTGTTCATTAACCAAGCATGTTGAGTGTGTTTTATGCGTTCCCGACTGTTGCCGATGTCTTTATTAGGGCTGCTTTTATTAGGACAGCACCTGTAAGTGGTAGGTCAAGCAATATATCCCCTGAGCCCAGAGCCAAAAGTAAACTTAGGTGAACAAAACTGTTAAAACGCAATCTCAAAAACTTGTGTGTCGTGTAGTTGAGGTAAAAAAATCGTTTGAATTTAGTAAGATTTAGACATGTTTTATTTCGAGGTAAGGATGGCAAAGTGATGCCTGCGATTTTCTTTCCAAATATATCAAGCGATACTCAACTCTCTTTTGGTCGTCTGATGCGCAGAGAGCTTCAATCTATGCTGGATGGTCTGATTGATCTAAAACCGATCTTCAGCACTCTCTCGGATTGGGATCAGTTTGACCACGTGGAGGCTACAAAATGATTTTCGAACGGCGTGGCTCAGCCGCGCTAAACTTTGCGCACCCATCGACAATTAAATGGCAAATATTTCGGTATCAAGCCGTTAGATGTATCTTGCAGGGCCATTGACCTATGGCAGGTAAAATTCAGGCCATGGCTATCAGCGAAAGCAATTTCAAGGAGCCGTTTTATCTGATGCGACAACAGAGTGTAGGGCAAAGTGATACATCTCTGAGATGAGAGATGTTCTTAGGCAGTACACAATTAGTTGAATTTAGCACAACAAAGTCCATCGACATAGGGTCAGGGGTAAAGGCCAGACCAAAGTCAAAACCGAGCAGCTTGCTTTTTTGCTGGACGACTTGCATTACGGAGTAGTTTTGGATGTTTATTTCAAACTTATCGATAAGAGGGACGGCGACAGACATCGTCCATTGGCTTCTGAAAGGTCAGAGCAGTCAAACAATCTCGCAGGTTTTTGACCACCATGATTTTCTAAAGATAAAAAAGATCACTAGCCTAAAATAAGCACCATTGACGTTTTGCTTAGAACAGGTATCTAGTTGCAAGACGGTTGCACGAGGAGGTCTTGGAGAATTTTGGCCACATATCTTGAGTTGGACCTAATCCAACCTTACTTGACCAGAAGGTCGTTAAGTAGGCGCCTTTAAATTTTGATATAACAGTCAGCTAAAGACCAACACAACCCGCCCAGGCGCGTGTTAAAGCAGCCGTACAGTGTACGACATGATGTAAGCAAAATGACCACCGGAAAATGACCGTCACTGGTTCGTCAGACTCCGTATGAAGTCACTTGGCATGCCCTTAGCTCGGCCGGTAGGCTCAGATGATGAAGCTCAGTTCTCAGTTCTCAGGTTATCAGGCTCCTGGCCTCTCTGCGGAAGACATGTGGGTTCACGCTCCATAAACCGCACGTGCGGGATTTGCGCATCAGGGCTAATTGTCAAAATGGCCCAAAAAGCCGGTCCGAGATGAGGCGGCCGTGTCGTGAGATTGCATGGCATGTAAAAATATTAGAACAAACGATATAAGTTGAAGTGGAATTAATGCACTGGGATGGAGGATACACGGTCATGGCAAGAGGTCAAATTTGGAAAGACTCTAATCCCAATGTCATGCCTGAGAGCACAAAAGCTCCAATTCGTGATACAAAATTATTCATCTTAACTCAAACAGCGGTGGGCATGTTTTGTGCATTGCCGACCACAGTAAAGAGAACGGACTGGGTGCAGACTATCAGAAGTTTGAATAATACACCGCATCCGCTTACTGAGATCTGTGCTTTGTCATGGAATAAATCTTTAACAAATGGCCATATGAATCAATCACAATGAATTAATGTCCCTCACATAATCTGACCGAACTTTTGTGAGGCGAAATAGATGTTTTAGACATGAGGTTGGAACAACGTGTCAGCTGCCTGTTGTTATAGGTGTAGAACTTCAGAATCCGTTGGTGGGGTTTTTCAGAGCGCACTACGTTTTATCATTATGGCGTCCTTAACGTCGAGCTGCTTACTTTAGCGTGTGAAAACGGACACGTACATGTTTGAATGTTTTATCACAAAAAACAGCCACAGGTACCCACTTTTTGTATTTCTTATAACTAACGCTGATCGTCTCAACGGCATAACCAAAACTGAAATGTACTATTTTGTTTTGGCGTGACCTTTCAAATGCTCGTGATGCGATTTAGGATTCACATATGTCCATCCCAAATCGTCATGACAAGCAACGAGTTCACATACCACCTGCATTGGATTTTATCTGCAATATGACCAGAGTGACGAATCAACGGAAAGATCAGGGGAATACAATTTGTCGCTTTGTTGCGATTGCCCGTACTCCATGTCAGTACAGCGCTCAGAACAACTGGATGCGACTGCCTGTTTCCGCATGCGGAGACTATGCTGAGACTGCCTGTTTCAGCTTGCTGAGACTAGAGCCATGTCGGATATGTTCTGTGGACTTCTCTGCGGCCAATCCCTTGTGATTCGAATTTGACATGTCTACCCAGCACTGCCTGGAGTTGCACAGCCAATGTTATAGACGGATGTGTGCAAAGATTGCCCGAATGCAGTTCAGGGCATTAACCACACATGGTTCATCCACACGTCGAACCATTCACACGACATATTTAGGTCAAGCACTGAAGTGGTACGAGAATTGTCTTTCGAATTGTTAGTAAACAACGGCTGTGGTGAACAACAAATGGTCTCCAAGGAAAAACACAATTTCAGGTATTCCGGCAGACAGTCTCTGTTCTTTCAACTCCAGGCCTTTGCCTTTGCCTCTTTTGTCAAGGGCTTGCCGGCAGAGCAAAGCCATTAGTGCTTGCAAATGGAATTAAGTTGTGCTCAAAGGTTGGATAGCTTAGTGAGAAACGGTTGCATTACAGAATGATTCGATTTTTTTTTCAAAACCGATCTAGCATTAGGAGCATTCAACTCAACCTTGGTTAGAACAAGCCATACACAATGGCAGGAAAGCTTGCACCGGTCGCTATTGAGCACTTCGTGAATTCCACGATGGATCGGCAAGAGATAGATCCAAAAAGAGATTCCAAATAGATCGGCAATTACACCGTCATCCTTCGGTTTTCATTGATTTAGGCCACAATCTGTCACTCGCGCTGAGGTCACCTGTGACATTTATCCATGCATGTCACAGGCAATCTCAGCTCAACCCTGTCCCGCCGTCCCCGCCGTCCCGCCGTCCCGCCGTCCCGCTTGTCTTACAGTGAGCGTGAATGGACTTGTACTTCATTAATTATATTTTTGATGGTTCAAACCCCGAAAACTACTTTTGAGAAGCTACACCCCTGCTCCCAACTGTGAAAAGAAAGTGCGGCGGAGGCATTTCGGAGGCAAGCTCAGCCATTTCCATTCTCTTCTTGAACCCTTTCTCCCCGCCCTTCCATCCCTCAACCCTGTATATTTTGCAAAACTTTATCCCTGTAGCCTTATATTTAACGATAACGTAGTTCTACAAGCACCTGAAACAATATCACCATGGGTTTTGTGACGTCACCGTACAACCAGCTGGAAGTGTTGGCGACCTTCACTACCTTCGTATAATCATCGCTGGTGCAGAACTCGCGCCTCCCAACATAATACCAACTATTTAGCACAAAACCCATACAATATTGGTATCCATAGATACAAACGACACTTTTGAACACCTCTAGCACGTTCAGTTACCTTCATATGCATGTGATGTGATGAAACTAAAAGCTTTTCTCACGCTCGTCCACCGATCAGTACGCTAAGTTTGAGGTGTAACGAGCAATGCGGGAGGCCTACATCAGTGACGCTCGGCCTCTTACCTCAAAGCCGCTGTTCCTCTCAGCAGCGGAGAGCCTCGGGTAAATCACTGACATGGTCGCTCCGACGACCTCCGTTCACCTCCGAAGCTACAGCTCAGGTATCAATAAAACACAATCCCCCTAGATCGGCAGAACTCTTAAGGCTATTTCTTTTTTTAAATCTGGCGATTAGCCGCGTTCTTGTAATCATTGATCTTCTCACGACATGAACACAACCAACAGCAGCCCACAGCCTCGCACTGAATCCAACGCATGACTGCGTGGCGAGCAATCAAGCCCATCTGTCTCCATGGCGCAACGCTTAAAGTGCCGCGTAGCAAATTGATCACGTTCTTCGCAAGATGCTGTGGCCACCCACGATATTTAAGACTATTAATAAGTCTCGTTATTTGGCCTCTTATTGTTAAGTGTGTTCAGTAGCGCCGGTGGGGGGGGGGGGGCGGTGCACAGGGGGCGCGTGTCCCCCTTAGGTTACAAGGGGCCCTTCGAGTCCCTCGGAATCTGCGATTGCGGACCCGATTTGGGGCGAAGGGCCTGAAGAGCCAGCTGGGGACATTAAGAGGCCCGGCCCAAAGGACTGGGTACTCCACTGCCGGCCAAAGGGCCCTGTGGGCTGATCAGGGACCCACTGAGTCGATCAGGGCCTATATTTCGGCCAGCCTCCACCAGTAACAGTCGGCTAGGTGTCGGCATGGCATGAGGCCCCGTTTCCCAAGTAGGAATAGGGCTGGGCCCATTGATTTACATTGCTTGGGCCCCTCGACGCCCAACAGGGACCCTGTGTTGTCAATGGGCCCGGAGTCGGCTAGAGACAGTGTTCGAGGAGACCCGAAGAGCCTAGGGGACCCACGGGTCCGACGACCAAGGGCCTGATTGGAGGATCTAAGGATATAAAGGGCGGGTTGGAGCCTTATTCGGGGGCGCAGACCTGCGACAATCGATTGTCAATTAACTGTCAGCGGGCCCTTTTCGCTGATCAAGGACCCCTGAGTCGAGGTGGGCCTGTTTGTCGGTCAGGTACCATCGTACCACATAGTCGGCTCTGTGTCGGTATGGGCCTGAAACTATACGCCTGATACGCCGACTTCTGACCACGTTGCTGGGCATAAACGCCAATGCCTTTTTTGTCCTGTGGCATCGCGTTGCGCTGCTGGCGACTATTGTGTCTACAGCAATTCGGTCGGTGGCAAAAAAATACACTTTCACCATCCCTGCCACGACATCGATCCCTGTGTGGAGTCCATTCCGACCATTTCTGGTCCCCACAATGGTCAGTTCAAATCAGGTTGCCGTTCAATAATGGTAAGCCGATGGCCTACAAAAACGGGACTTTTTCACAATGTGGGTTATTAAAGCTTATTTTATAAGGTCCGACTGTGAAAAAACATTCCAGATACAAAATACCAGTCTTTGGAGACCTAGAGGTCATCGGAGTAAAGTCCGGTCAAATTTACAAACCATCCAAATGAGAAAAAAAAACTGAAAT